CCATAAATACCCAAGATAGATGTGTTCTTCCTGACTCCTAAAACAAAAGGACAAAAGTTTAGGTGAATTTCTTCCACACTTGATTTGTATGTGCTTTCGTGACCCCAGATGTCACTTCCGTAAACTAGTATGGGTCTAATTAGTTTATCGAAAAGGGATAGAATTGTAAGTGGATTTAAATTTGCCTTATGTCCAAGTTTTGCTTTTAAACTAAACAAGCAGCCTCTCGGCTGAGATAGCTCCGCTGTTAGCAATGCACATTTCGATTAAGGAACAGAAGATATCATTAGAAAATGAACAATATGCATAGTATCAATGCAATGGGACTTGCTGTTTTCAACAAGAATTCAAAAATATCATTTTTGACCATAAATGATTGTGGTTTTTAACAAGAAGAAAATATCACTTTTTACCAAAAATGACAAAAATATTCACCAAAATTAAGAAATTTAAGATATCATCATGAAATGAACAAATCTGAGAGAGATCCACATGTAGTATCTATATTTGTAATATCAAAGCAATTGGACTTGTGGTTTTTAACAAGAAGTCGAAAGTATCACTTTTTACCAAAAATGACAAAAATATTCACCAAAATTAGAAAATTAAAGATATCATTATGAAATGAACAAATTCGAGAGTGGTCCACATGTAGTACCTATATATGTAATATCAAAGCAATTGGACTTGCGGTTTCTAACAAGAAGTTGAAAATATCACTTTTTACCAAAAATGACAAAAATATTCACCAAAATTAGAAAATTAAAGATATCATTACAAAATGAACAAATCTGAGAGAGGTCCACATGTAGTACCTATATATGTAATATCAAAGCAATTGGACTTGTCGTTTTTAACAATAAGTCGAAAATATCACTTTTTACCAAAAATGACAAAAATATTCACCAAAATTAGAAAATTAAAGATATCATTATGAAATGAACAAATTTGAGAGTGGTCCACATGTAGTACCTATATATGTAATATCAAAGCAATTGGACTTGCGGTTTTCAACAAGAAGTCGAAAATATCACTTTTTACTAAAAATGACAAAAATATTCACCAAAATTAGAGAATTGAAGATATCATCACGAAATGAACAAATCTGAGAGAGGTCCACATGTAGTACCTATATATGTAATATCAAAGCAATTGGACTTGCGGTTTTCAACAAGAAGTTGAAAATATCACTTTTTACCAAAAATGACAAAAATATTCACAAAAATTAGAGAATTGAAGATATGATCATGAAATGAACAAATCTGAGAGAGGTCTACCCAAGGTACATATACACCAAGTATCAAAGCATTCAGACTGTAGTTTTCAAGAAGAAGTCGAAAATGTAAAACATTGACACGGACAACGGACACCAGACGACGACGGACAATCACTCATATGATAAGCTCCGCTCGACAAAGTCGACAGCGGAGCTAATAAAGCTTTTTGGCCTTTTAGTTTTAATGTTTTCATTGCCTCCTTAAATTTTTCGTTCGAACTTAATACAACCCCTAAATAGTTGTAGTGTCTAACCACATTAATTTCTTTACTTT